TGTGCTGCTAATATTAAATAATATATATTATAGATGATTTTCCTGATTTTCCATCCTTTGCAAGGGAGTCAGCACGGAAAATCCAAAATTTTGTTTTTATTGACCATGTTAAGGAATCATATTTAAACAAGGAAGATATAGTTGATCTTTTAGAAAAGCATATAAAATACAATTTAATAAAAGAATAACACCTGATTGTTATATTATATCATGCAATTTGCAATTGTCTAATATAAAAATATTTCATGTTTATTGATAGATTGGAGACAAATTTTATAGACAATGTATTGGAATTCCTCAAAGATCAGTTGTATCAGTCTTGCTTTGTAGGTTTGTACAGTTATAACTAGTATCTGTTTTTTTTTTTTTCCAACAGTATGTTATATATATTATGGGTAACCTATAATTATTTATAATCAATTTTTAGCTTTTATTATGGTAAGATGGAATAGGATAAGTTTTTTTTTATAAAGCATGATAATGGCGTAAGTAAATGTAGTAGATTTAGTTGGTTTAGAGATTTTTTTTACTAAAGAGATTTTTTGTATATAAATATGGACAAAGAAAAGGTTGAAAGATTTATAACTGCAATGCACAAAGGTAACAACTATGATGAATTTTGAATATAATTTTATAATTTTATTAACAATTTATTTTAGGATATCTGAATTATAATTGTATTGTTAACAAAGAAAAGAGTTTAGTAAACTTTGATATTATTATCAATAGGAAGCCGATAGAGAAATTGAGTAATATGATAAATCAAATTTTTCATGATCTTAGTAATTTTAACAAAATTTTTAGCTTATATGAAAATGGACTTTATATTTCCCATAATGTAGAATTTTAATTAGTACATTGACATTAAATTGTAAAGTTGATTATATGCGATATAGCACTTTACGTAGGTCTTCCTAATTCAATATTCAATATAATTCCCATATATTATTCATTATGTATTTTGATAAAATTGTATAAACATTGCAGATACTTTAACAGTTAAGATATCCTGATGAAGCGTTAAAACAAAAAATGATTGAGTAAATACTATAATATTTCACTTAATATTTTTAAATATATACTCAAATTATATCTTTAAATTAGCATTGTTACCAAAAAGTGTCATCCAATATACAATGATATATTGTTCAATACCAAACCTACTGTATTGCTAATATTTATCAAAATTTTCTGTTGACTGCTATGAAATTTCATCACTACATCAAAGATTTATCACAGCAAAGTTATTTAAGAAATAAGAATTTTGAAATAGGTATAATTTATTGTTATTTATAAGTTTTGTTTGGCTATTTTGAAATTTTATTTTAAGGTTAAAGTTTTAGTTTGGTTATGTAAAGTTCATATCATTCATAATTAATACATATGATAGCTGATGCTGAATTTTGGCTGATGCTGAATTTAATTAATCTGATTGGTTAGGGTTAGGGTGATCTGCAAAATTTATCTAATAAGATTTTTTAGATTCAACATCAGCCAAAAGTCAGCATCAGCCATGACAATATATATAATATTGGCAAATGTAGTGCTTAACACAATTAATTGTATATTTTGAGTGATAATTAGTAAGTCACAACCTCAAATAGCCACTAACCTTAGTTTAACACACTCAGAAGTAACCTGGTATGGATAAACAATAACTATTACTTTGTCTTTTTTTTGTTGAAAATTGGTTTATATTCTTTATCATTACATAGATTAGTTATGCATACATTTTATTATATACTTTCTCAAAAGCAATCATACCATAAGCTGCTTTTACAGCATTTGAAGTCCAAACTTAGCAGTTCACCAATAAACAAAGTTAAACAAATACAAACAACTATTGATTGGAACAGGTCAAAGATATTTGATAATCTATAATATTAAATAGCTATTTGAAGAATTTGAAAAGTTGTAGTGATATCTATAGGCTAGCTTTTTTGCAATTAGTTAATTATATCAAAAAAAGTATTTATAAGAAATTGATGTTAAAAATATTATAAAACTCAATTTAGAATTAAATAAAACATATTTAACTATTACTAAGTCATATAGGCCTTGTTATTTAACTATTACAGAGTTATCATTGTGTAGACTTTAAATTTAACTATCGCTATTGGGGTATTCCACGCTCTATGATTTACAAACATAGTACAACACTATATAATTGATACACTAAGTAAGATTTTTGAAATTTTGTAGATCATTTTTATTAGCAAATTTACATAGTAATTTTATTATAAAATCAGTGTATTTTTAAAATGCTCTAACTAATGTTCTAATAAAGACATTTTAATTCTGTAACTTGTAAATAATATATCGATAGTATAGTTTTAAATAGTGATTTGACCCGTTCAAAAAATCTTCACCCGGGTCACCCGACGGGTGGACAATAAGTCACCCGAGTGAAAATCGGGTCAGGTCACCCGACGGGTCACCTGTCAGATCACCCACAGGTCACCCGTAGGTTACTCCCCAGGTTAGTTTAAAAAAATCACCTGAATGGTAATATGCATATGCATACTGAATATTTTATGTACGTACGTACGTACATACATATCAGATATATACGTTAAGAAAGTGGCTCACTACAATATA